AATAATCTTTATAATATAATAAAATAAGAAAAAATTTTATAGTTTTTAACTTTTAATCAATCTCTATATTGTCTATATATAAAGTTAAAAAGTAAAAATAACTAAGATAAAAGGGTGAAAGTTTTAACCAAACCCGTGATCAAATATGTACCTCACTCCAGTTGTCAGTATTTTTTTTTCTAGTGACATGGAATGACAAAAGAAAAGGATATTTTGGTGAAAGGTTTCTTCCCAAATTGCTCTACTTAATTTTCCATATCTGCGTATGACAGATTTTCGTTGCATGTAAAGTAGATACTAAAATGCAATAAAGTTAAAAATGAGGAAAACAATCTAGAATCTAATCCTTTAAAGGAGGCAGGAAAGTATAGATAATCCAAGGAAAGGACTACGTCACATACTAAAATTAGTAAATTATCAAAAAAAATTTATAGAGAGCTACTAAGAGAAGAAAAATGAATGTGAAGAAAATATGGGAATTAAAAAACCATACCTGCTGGCCTGAAACTTGTGCTTCTAACTGAGAAGGCAAAAAATGCAGTAGATTCTATCCTAAATGAAATTATGCCTATCTGCATATCAAATTGATAATAAAATGCAAGATGGTTAAGTTAATAGATATAAAAATAGGGACAAAAAGCACTTCTTAATTTTGTAGTGAAAGCACTTGTTATCATTTACCTTCGAAAATAAGAGGCAATGAAGAGAAGGCAGGGAAAGTGGAATGATACTAGAACAGCACTTTTTAATCTTGCAGTGAAAGCAGTTGGTTTGCTAAGAAAGGCTTTTGCAGTGAAAACAGTTGATTTGCTGAGAGAGGCTTCTTCTGCACCTGTTAATTTTCGTCCCCTAAATGACTCTGAACGACGAACGAAAGGATAACAATATTGTTAAAGCTTCTCCACAGATAACTCGTAAGCACCTGCTAGCCGGTTAGCTATACTTCCTAGATCAATTTTCTTACATATCTATTAAAGTAGAAACCAAAATGCAGTAAGCAGAAAACCAACATCTAGATTCTAATCCTTTGGAAGAGGAAGAGTAAAATCCAAGAAAAAAATGTTAGAAAATAGTTTGTTAAATCATTTATTCAATAAATTGAAAGAAGAAAAGGCACCTTGTTTTAAATGGTTGTGCTTTTTCCAAATGACTTACTAGAATGACAAAAGAAAGAATACGCCTGATGAAAAGTTTCTCCACAAATTGCTCAGATGGACTTTCTATCTACCTACATAAAATATTTTCATTACATATAAAGTCGAAACCAAAATACAACAAAGTCAAAAATGAGAATAGCTAGAATCCAATCCTTTTGAAGAGGTAGGAGAATATTGTCCAAAGAAAAAACCATATTATTTACTAAAATGATAAAAAAAAAAAAAAAAAAAGCTTTGGCCTTTTCAGAGAAGAAAAATGATCGTGTAGAGGGCAAGGATGGAAAGTAGTATATATATATATACACTCGTGTGTCTGCGCGGGCGCATGTGTATATATTCACACATTTATTGCAACTTATATAAAAAAACACTAAAGATATTATGCGAAAATTCAGTGCTTGCAAAATATAGATCAACTGTCCAAATTAATTGAAAAAGATGTACCTTGCTTAAATGACTAGTGCTTTCCCAAATCACCATAGAACGAAACAGAAGGGGAGGCACCTAGGCTGCTTTTTTTTTTTTTTTTCCAGTGAAACGCTTATCCACAGATTGCTCGCAAGTTTCTAGCTACGTGGAAGATT